GCAACAACAGCCATGGCAAGAACAAGATGGACAGCGTCCCGAACAAGGATGGCCCAGCAAGTGTGTCGACGACGCCCGCCACTTCTCCGAGCTCACCTCGACGCTTTCGAAGGCGATCTTCCACCATCTATCCGGTATCTGATGTGTCTGCTGCTGCGTCAAACGCTTCCTCTCCCTCAATGCTGCTAGATACTGCTTCTTTGGGCACAGCGGAACAAGTTAGGGAGGGTTCCATCTCGGCGCAGGACACAGTGCTTCCAGGTAGCGCAAGCACAGAGCGCGATGGGTCGCCGCAGCCGCAGTCGCAGTTTTATCATGTCGCAAATCGGCAGCGCCGCCGAACGTGGTCGCAGGGCGTCACAGTTGCAAATCACAGCAGCCCCAACGACCACCAACACTACCACCACTCCCACCAGTCACACACGCAGTCGCAGCACTTTCATCTCCACCACCACCACTACCACTTTGACCACTTTGCATCAGCATCAACGTCGCTCTTTTCAACAGCAACATCAACAGCAGCAACAGCAGCAACAGCAGCAACAGCAACGGCGACGTCCGCACAAGGCGGGGCGGGCTTCTCAACAGTCACAGCACCTGCATCCCCATCGCCAACACCAGCCGCCACCACGACGGTGCCGGTTCGCCTTCGTGCTCGCCGCCCAAGTCGCCGCGCATCGCAGCCAACGCCGCTTTCCCTCATTCCGGAACATTGACGAATATCTTCCATCAATAATCGAGCCAAATCAAACGCGCAACAACAAGTGTGTGTGTGTGCTTGAGTGTGTGCTTGAGTGTGCTTGAGTGTGTGTGTGTGTGTGTGTGTGCTTGAGTGTGTGCTTGAGTGTGTGTGTGTGTGCTTGAGTGTGTGTGTGTGTGTGTGTCTGTGTGTGTGTATGAAGCAAGCAAGCAGACTGCTGCATCCACTGCCCAACTGTGTTGCGTTTGTGATGGTGGTGTCCTTGCGCTCACGTTGCGACCCTGGCTTTGGGGAAATCCTTCCTTCCTCTGCGGTTCTCTGCGATGCGCATGTTGCGTGTTGCCCTTGATGGACAGCACCGTTTAGTGGAATTAGTAGACTTGGCAAACGGTTCACGAGCAAGGCACAAAGGCTGCTGATCAAGGATCAAGGATTGGATTGGATTAGAGGACACTCGGAGGGGCGGAAACAGAGACAGGCTTCACAGCACACCAGCAACAACACCATGGCCGAGGCGCTGACGGACGAGCAGGCTTGCGAACGTATCGCAGAGCTGGTGGTTGGCCTACGGGATGCCACGAGCGAAGGCGATGGCCAGGACTGCCGCCTCCTCAAGACAGACGTTTCTGAACTGCTGCAGGAGGCCAACAACGACACCGAAGCTGTCCTGCGTGCCCTTCTCTTCGATGGCCAGTGAGTGCGTGTCTGTGAGTGAGTGTGTAAATGTTGTGTGTGAGTGAGGGTGCAATTGTTGTGTGTGTGTGTGTGTGTGAGTGTGAGTGTGCTGTGCGTGTTGTCGTGCGTGTTGTTGTGACCTTGTGGCCAATATCACCTTGTGGTGGAGTGCACACCGCTCCCTTTTTTTTTTCTTCTTCTTCTTCTTCTTCTTCTTTTCATTCCCTCCTCGCACCTTTCTCACCCCATTCGCCTACGACTCACACTGCAGGGCGCCTGATTTGGAGGAGCGGCTGGTGCAGGAGGATTTGTCGGAGGTCTCCGCGCAGGACTGCGCACGCGGCATGGTCTACTACGACGAAGAGGACAACCAGCCCGAGAACTCAGAGGCCATTGTCGCCTCCCGCATTGCCGAGGTCCTGGACGTGCTTCGCGCCGTCAGCATCGATGGCAAGGGCTACAACTTTGCATATGCCACAGATGTGGCCATGTATACATATGGCTTCCTCACCATCAGCCGCAGTGGCACCGGCATTGGCTGGGCCTGCCCCGACGCCGTCTGGACTTGATCGGGGCCAACTTGTCGGTGTGTGTGTGCGTGTGTGTGTGTGTATGTGTGTGTATGTGTGCGTGTGTGTGTGTGTGTCTGTGTCTGTGTCTGTGCCTGTGTGTGTGTGTGTCTTCCTGCCTGCCTGTCTGACTGAATGTGTGCCAACAATCCGCTTGGGCCTCCACCCCCTGCCTGCCTGTCTGTCTCGCCCCTGAGCCAACTTATTTCCCCCTTCCTCCGATCATCAACTTCCCCACAACCCTGCCCCCATGTTCCCTTCTTGCCTGTGTTGCAGTCCTGTTACTCTTTTCTCCCTCTGTCTGCATCGTTGCGCTCTTTGCCTTGAGTTACATTACACACAAACGTTGCGTTGGTGTATTGCAAATGAACTGAACTGGAATGGAGGTGGGATGATGGACAAGGATCGTAAATGTGTGCCATGGCACTCGGGAATGGCAGCCCTTCACAACAGTGGTGGAGGAGACACAACGAGACATGGAAGCAATGAACAACCAGGTTGGCTGACAAAGGAAGGAACAACTAATAAACAAGACAGCCCAACCAACTAGCACAAGCTGCCAAAACATACACACACACACACACACACACACACACACACACACACACACACACACACACACACACACACACACGACTTCAGTGTGAGCGGAAAAACGCCTCCAGTTCATCATCTGCATCAACACCGGTTGCAATGCTCATGACATCCTCGTACTCGTCCTCGTCATCTTCGTCCCCGCCGCCGTTGGTAGGCGTTTGCGCCCCGCTCTTCCACGTGGACACGAGGTCGGCGTGCCGCTGTGCGGGCTGCCTGCGCGATGTGCGCGAGTTGGGGCGAGACCTGTTGCGTCGCTTCGGGCCAACGCCAACCCCGCCATACACGCTGTCGGCAATAAAATCGTCGTCGTCCTCGTCATCGTTTGCCGTGGTGTCGTCGTCGCTGATGGGGACGGCCCGCCGCTGTCGTGGATCTCGGGTGTGTGAGGTGCCAGCCCCGCCGCTGGGCTTCTTCCGCTGCGTCTTCAGCAGCGAGCTGAGCCCGCCGCTTTGCATGGACGCGTGCTGTTTGTCGTTGTCGTCGTCCTCACCGAAGCCCATCTCCTCTGCGTCGTGCTCATTCAAGCGCAAGGTGGCGTGCGGGTCGTGGATGCGGCGCAGCGTGGCGTTGTGCAGGGCGGTGGTGAAGCGAACCGCGTTGCCGGCCGTGCTCCACAGGCCCGCCGCACCCCGCTTCGGCGCCACCACGGTAGCCGTGCTGCCGCTGTTGCTGATGGTCGCGCCACAGTTGGGGCAATGAACAATGGGGTTGCACATGGAGGGTGCGCCAACGCTGGACTGCCGGCGGCCGCGAGCACCGCCACCAGTCACCATGGCGGCATCGCCGCCGCTACCACTGTCAGTGTCTGCCGCTGCGTCTTCCTCAGCAGCATCTGTGGACTCGCCTTCGCCCTCCGACAGCATGGCCAGCGCCTGTCGCGTCACCTCCATGTCCCTGCCTTTCCCTTGCTGCACTTCCTTTGGGCTGTGATGAGTCTCGGTCTCCGAACGCGCCGCGTCAGCGGCCGCATCGGCGCTGGCGTCGTCGCCGTGCTCGGATGACGTGTCGCTGGCAGCATCCGCGTTGTTGCCCTTTTGCGTTTTGGATGATAGCGGGGGCGCCTCCTCTTCCTCCAGCATCTCCGCCAGGGCCGCAGCGTTTGTGCCTCGCTGTACTGCCTGTGTGGGATCCATAGCATTGTCGCGCTCATCCTCGTTGCTGTCGTTGTCGTTGTCGTTGTCCAGGTGCAGCCCCGTGGGGCGCTTTTTCAGGCGGCTGGCTTTCGAGGACGGCTTGCTGCTGCCTGATGGCGTGGATCTGCCGCTTCCCTGGCGCGCAGAACGGCGCAGGCGCCTGGCGACCGCGGACGTTGTCGCCACTGTTGCTGCTGCTTTTGATAGCTGAGGCGCCGAGGAGCCTTCGCGCTTCTTGAGCAGCTTGGACAGTTTCTGGATCAGGAAGTGGATGGGGTCCTTGGGCTTGCTGCGAAGCATGGCCATCATCATGGCCTGGATCAGGTTGTCCAGGTCATGCTTGTCCACATACGCCTTGTCCTCGGGCGTCATCGAGCCCTTGTTGCCTTCTTGGATGGGTGGTTTGTGACGACGCTGTCACTCACCTGGCTTTGCTTGGATGGATGGATGGATGGATGGATGGATGAGTGTTCTCACTCGCAGTCTTGTTTGCTTGGATGGCAGTTGAGGGTTGTATGTTTTTTCGTGTCGCTTGAGCCTTCGTCGGTTTCGTCGTTGTCCGGAAACCATGACGTTCTTTTTCAACGACACCCGACAATTATCCGCTGGCTGGCGCTGTTTGTGTTTGGCAAGCAATTTGGAGGAGGAACACAACAACAACACACAACAAGACACAAGACTCAAGCACAGCAAGGTGCTGATGGCAGTGCTGGCGGGTGTCTCGCCTGCTTCTTTGGCTGTTTGTTTGTGTTTCGAGGTGGCTCCTGGCGGATTCACCTTCCCCCCTTCCTTTTTTGTGCTTTCCCTTCTTCTTCGACTGCTTTGTCGACGCTCACAACCAGACACCACCACGCCTTGCAACACGCCACGCCTTGTTTTGTGCATTGCAGTGCGGCAGTCGCGTTTTCCCGCGAAACTTGTGGTTGGAATCGGGGGGTTTGTCGAAACACGTTCCCCAACACACATACGCACACACACACAACACATACGCACACACACACACACACTCTCTCTCTCTCTTTTGCTTCGTCTTGTCGAGTGCAGTACAAGAGGTAAGCGTCCGTGGCGAGTGCCTTGGGTGGGTCAACAACACTGGGCAAGGCCGGTGACTGCATCGGCTTGGCACCAAGCCAAGCAAGATGCACAAACATCAGAAGAGAACAACAATGGGGTCGTGTGTGTGTGTGTCGACAACATGTAACATGCTGCTCGTGCTGGTCATAGTCCCTCACGTTGCTCGTTTCTCTTTGTTGTTCTGTGCGTGCGTGCGTGCGTGCGTGCGTGTGTGAACAGAGATGCTGCACCGCAAGCGCAAGTGCGTCCTCGACGCTGACGGCGTGCCACGCGTTGTCGCCTGGTGCGTTGAGCTCTGTGTGTGTCTGTGTGTGTGTCTGTGTCTGTGTCTGTGTCTGTGTATGTGTGTCTGTGTGTGTCTGTGTGTGTGTGTGTGTGTGCGTCTGTCTGTGCGTCTGTCTGTGCGCGTCTGTCTGTCTGTGTCTGCCTGCGCGAACACATACACGTGTGGACGTGCTGAGGCTGATGTGCTGACAATCATGCGGGACGCTCGTTGGTGCGTTCAACAGTGGTCGAAAGCCCAAGCCGCGCTGGGTGAAACGACGGCGCCTGTTATTGGCATCTGGCGTTGTCCTCCTCTCCTTGGTGGCGTATCCTATCATCAACCCAGGCTCGTTTGGTGTCGATGTGCCCTCTGTCATCTTCGACACTGCACGCACCAAGCCTCTTCATCTCAAAGCAGTCGCCGACTCAGCCAGCGTGCGTGCTGTGTGTCAGTGTGGCTGTGGTGTGTGTCAGTGTGTGTGTGTGTGTGTGTTTGCGTGTGTGTGTGTGTTTGCGTGTGTGTGTGTGTGTGTGTGTGTGTGTGTGTGTGTGTGTGTGTGTGTGTGTGTGTGTGTGTCCTGTTACGTTTGCATGATACGTTGTTCGACACTGGTCGAATTCTCATGCCGTTTCCTCACCCACTTACTCACTCACTCTCTCACTCACTCTCTCACTCACTCTCTCACACACACGCACGCAGACAACCCACTGCAATGGATATGGGCTGCCAGAGGACCCGTTTTTCTTCAGGTACTAGACTTGCGCGAATATCTGTGCTGACAAGGCGTGCGTAGCTTGCATGTTTGCTTTGGGACAGTTCCTGCCATAGATGATGGTCACAACCACATACACACTCACTCACACACACACACACACACACACACACACACTCACTCACTCACTCACTCACTCACTCACTCACACTCTCTCTCACTGGCTTGTACAGGTATGAAGGACGTCACTGCCGCCGCATCCGCTTCCAGCCGCACCAAGAGCTGCAGCCACTACTGGAGAAGGTAGACATCACCCTGCTCCTGTGTGTGTGCATGCATGCATGCATGCATGATTATTCTCTGTCAGCAAGAGAGGCGCGCGCATACATCCATTTTCATGCATTCGTTCACCTGTGCGCGTCTTGGCCCGCTTCCAGGTGGACTTTGTCATCAAGACCTTCACCACAACCGAGTAAGCATGTGTGTATGTAGTAATATCAATGAGGAACATCTCACCAGTTGCGCCCCTTGTCGCAATGCGATCCCCTTCGCTGCTGGTGCTGAACAGCTGCCCAACACACGTTTGCACACACCCCAACACACAACACAACGGGTGCATTCTAACGGGCTCACTCACTCACTCACTGACCCACTCGACTCTGGCGCAACACCGACACATGGTTTTTGCCTTCTTGTGCCATCTTGCTCAGGGCATGCGCCAAGTACTTCAGGCATTTCTGGGGCGCACATCTGCGCCATCCCATTCACCACAATCACTACAAGGATGTTTCCTCGTCCGTACCAACACTCGGTCAGTCAAGCGGCACAAAAGTGCTAGTTTTCTAATGCTTATATTGCCGCCGCCACACGCACAATTCAAACAGACCAATAACGCACAGCACACAACAACACGCGTTCCCAACTACAAATGACACACACACACACACACACATTCGGTCCATGCGACACGTGGCTCGGGTCTTACGGATGACACGACCCTCGCACACCTGCACATCGTTCATGCACATCGTTCATGCACACCATTCACGCACATCGTTCATGCACACCATTCATGCATTCATTCGCTTGGTCCACGACAGGGGATGAGAGCCACGCGCTGCTCTGGGACCCGGCGTTCCCGCCATTGAATGTGCCCCATCCGCCACTTCCGCCACCAGGCAACACAGACTATGCGCGCAAGCACGTCGCCTTTGTCTTTCGGTCAGTCATTTTGCATTTCACCCTCGTATGTGTTCTTTTCCACAGCCTCCACCACACATGCACACACTCGAGTCCACGTACACACACACGCACGCGCGCTTGCTGACACCAACCATGGATTATTTCGTTGGGCTCGCTGGCTGCGTGCAGGAGAGGGCGCCTCTTTGTCTTGCTGGTGGCAGCCGGCCTGCCCCAGGCCCAGAACGCCATGCTCAGCCCAAATGAAATGCATCAGTGAGTACGACCGCGTCACAATGCAATTGCTGATGTGTGTGTGTGTGTGTGTGTGTGTCTTTGCTTGATTGTTTGCCGGCCACAACTCCAGTCCTTCGCTCACTGCACTTGCGCATACGTGCGTGACGGACACAGGCTTGCATCTCGGCTTGATGCGCTGCTGGTGGATGCCACGCCGTCGCCATGGGCAAAGTCACTTCGCCGCGCACGTGATGATCTCGTCACATGGTCAGTGTGGGTAAAGGGGGGTGCCATGGGGGTGCACACAAGCACCGCCACCAGCTCACACGCCACCCATGTGGCTTCTGCGTCGCTGCTGCGTTCACTCACGCGCTCTCTCTTCGTGTCTGTTTGCGCCCGTGTGCAGGATGCTGGCTGAGACGACGTGGACAATCGACTTGTATTTGTTGGCCACGGTATGGACGTGCCATGCTTATCGTGCTGCCTTTTGATCACGCGAGTGTTGCCGATTCTCCAATGTGTCCACTGTTACACCGCACCCACGCACAAGCACACACACATACACCTTTCGCACATACATCCAAACTCTCGAACACGCCCATGCACACACACACACACACACACACACACACACACACACACACACACACACACACACACACACACACACACACAGAACACGATGTACATGCGCAGGGGGGCGTTCTCACCACTTTTCACGCGCTGATCTGCCCTGTTTACATTCGTGTCCATCGTCTCACCATCACCATCACCATCCATCCACCACCATCCAATCACATCATCATCACGTCCAATCACCACCGCCACCGCCGCCGCCGCCGCCAGCACGGGTGCGGATGCTGCGTGCCTGCGCCGCCACCTCATCCACTGCCTCCTCGTCAACATGAGCGACAGCGAGGACATTGTGCGCGTCATTCGTCAGGCCTGCAAGCGCCGCCCGGCTGTGCTCGACTATGCCTTCCTGCGGGAGACATTCCTTGGCGCGGCGTTCTCGTACTACTTCGACACGGTCAAGGACAGAGACGCGTTGCTGTCTCGCTTCCTGCCCATCACAGACGTGCCCATCGCCGCCGCCACAGCAGCAGCGACGGGCGTGACGGAGAGCGGCCTGCTCGTCCACTTTGTCTCCACCCATAACCGCCAGTCACCACCGGCACATCCGCTCATCGACTCCTTTCCCCTCCAGCAGCGCCCTCCTTCCACAACGCGTCGTCGGTGTGTGTACTTGCTTGTTTGTGTGTGTGTGTGTGTGTGTGTGTGTGTGTGTGTGTGTGTGTGTGTGTGTGTGTGTGTGTGTGTGTGTGTGTGT